CAGGAAAGAGGAGCTAATGAGCTAACAGAGGAGGCTAACTAGCAAAAAATACCACCATCTGGAGGAGAAACTTCAACAAAAACCCTCCTAAATACACATAAAAGGCTAAAAAAAACCAGAAAATACAAAGCAAAGTCCAAAAACAAGATGAGAAAAACATTTGTTACAAATTTCCTTTAAATAACCTTTCAAATGTCTTTCAAATGTGTTTGGTTTCTTGTTGATTTCAATCAAATTTTTCTAATTTTGAAGTTTCTAATGATGAACCTAACACCAACTAATCCAGCAAAATCTCCCTATAGAAGAGCAGCGTCTGTCTCTTTTCACATGAGAAACATCTGGTCTAATCTGTCTGAATGTGATACAGCAAGCACATTAAACCCCCCGATGGACCAGAATTTGGCAGAGTCTGTTCGATAAACCAAGATAATTCAGGTTTCTGATAATTAGCTAATAATCTGTGATAATTTAGGTGTTTTTGTACACAGTGATTTAGTCTGAAGGAAGTTTCAGTCCAGACTGATCTTGTTTATGGTTCTGAGATGAGACGTGAAACCCATCTGAGATCCTTCTTAATATCCTAACCCTAAACCTAACCCTAACCCTATTCCTAACCCTAATCCTAAACCTAAACCTAAACCTAATCCAAACGCTAAAATTAACCCTGAATTTACCTTAACTTTAAACCTAATCCTAACGCTAAACTTAACCCTAAATTTACCTTAACCTTAAACCTAACCCCAATTCTAAACCTGACCAAACCCTAACCCTAACGCTAACCCTAATCCTAACCCTAACCTAGCCCTAATCCTAATACTAAACCTAACCCTAAACCTAACCCTAATCCAAAATTAGCCTAACCCTAATCCTAATAATAAACCTAACCCTAACCCTAACCATAAACTTAACCCTAAACTTACCTTAACTTTAACCCCAACCTCAACCCTAATCCTAAACCTAACCCTAGATTTACCTTAACTTTAACCCTAATCTGGTCCAAAAATCATCAAGATATGGAAATCCTGCAGAGTCCGTTAGAGGAGGGGCTCACATGACAGCATCCCTGAGCCAAAAGCTAACAGACGAGTAAAGGGTTAGGGTTTGGGTTAGGTTTAGTGTTAAATTTAGGCTTTAATCTGCTGTAAACAGCCGACCAAAGCGATGTGGGATCCTGGGGGCTAACGGGGCCGTTGGGGACCCACTGGGGCCAACAGACCAGAACAAAGGGCATGTAAATGTACAGTTCAGTAGACTGCCCTGACTCCATTGGATGGAGAGGCATAAAGGAGGCCGGGGTCCCTCAGAGACCTCCGGTTTGTTATGCTAATGCCTCGCTTAGATATGGAGGCCCGCTCTAACGCCGTTTGTTTTGAGATCTGAACCTTTTCCCCAATCACAAAGTCACCAGAAACAAGGGGAAAAAAATACCAAATTAGACACTGAAACTCCTCCATTACATCAGATTCTAACAACAACCTTCAAATTATCCACAACAACAATAGATTAAAAGATTCCATAAGGACAGAAGAAGATAGACTTAGACTTAAACTTTATTGATCCCTTGGGAAGACTCCCTCGGGAAATTGAAGTTACCAGCAGCTTACAGGGCAAGAAAGTGGAACACAGAGAGCAAAATAATGCAAAATAATGCAAAAAAATACTAAAAGTACAGATTAAGTACAGATCGCACAACTCTTAGTAAAAGAAATCAAAAGGGACACAACATTTTTGTTTTGTTTTAAAGGGTGATTTAATCAGAAAAATGGAAAATAAGAAGATCAATATTGAGTTATTTGGGTAAAAGAGAGCATGTATTATAACAAAGTTATAATTTGTTCATCTTGTGAACACAAATAAAGATTAAAAGACCTTCTCATGACTCATTTGTCTTATTTTTTCTTTTTTAAACTCAAACAATGTTAATAACAGCTGGTGTCTATGAGGCTACTGGCTCTGAGGCTCGTAAGAAATCTAGATTTCAGCCGTTTTCTGGCCTCTGCTGCCCCTCATGAGACTCAACGTGGGGCCACATGCCGTCAGGGACCTGAAACTCCTCCAT